CTGTCCAAGGAATATTACAGAGTCATCGGTCTATATTAAAATTATAAATGGGTAAAATCATTGAAAGCTTCACCTTTTCACAGATTAGCTAAAAACTACTAAATCACTGTGATTCTACATTTTGAATTGTCTTTCTTAATAATCATTGATACAAGCTTTGGTGACAACAGTCAGGAGCTCCAACAAATCTTGTTGATGTTGTTGTTAGGTGCTGTCAAGTCGATTCTAACTCATAGGGACACTGTGTACAACAGAACGAAACACTGTCCGGTCCTGCTCCATCTTCACAGTTTTTCTTATCCTTGAGCCCATCGTTGCAGCCTTGGTGTCAGTCCATCTCCTTGAGGGTCTTTCTCTTTTTTACTGACCCTCTACAGCAAGTATGATGTCTTTCTCCAGGGACTGGTCCCTCCAGATAACATGTCCAAAGTATGTGACACACAAAGTCTCGCAATACTTGCTTCTTTTTTTTTTCTCCCAATACAAAAATTTATACATACATTGTTATGTGACTCTAATTGCTGTTCCCATACTGTGACATCACACTCCTCGTTTCCACCCCTGCTTACCCATGTCCATTCAACCAGCTCCTAACCCTGCCTTCCCATCTCACCTCTGGACAGAAGCTGCCCATTTAGTCTCTTGTATCTACTTGAGCTAAGAGGCACACGCCTCACAAGTATCACTTTATGTCGCACAGTCCAGTCCAATCCCTGTCTGAAGAGTTGGCCTCGGAAATTGTTTTAGTTCTGGGCTGATAGAGAATCCAGTTCCTCTAGTCTCCAGTCAGACCTCCAGTCTCAGGCAGACCATTAAGTCTGGTCTTCTTACTAGAATTTGAGTTCTGCATCCTACCTTTCTCCTGGTCCATCAGGGACTGTCTGTTGTTTTCTCTGTCAGGGTAGTCATTGGTGGTAGCCAGGCACCATCTAGTTCTTCTGGCCTCAGGCTGATGAAGTCTCTGGTTTATGTGGCCTTTCTGCATCTTGGGCTAATACTTTCCTTGTGTCTTTGGTGTTCTTCATTCTCCTTTACTCCAGGTGATTGGGACCAATTGATGCATCTTAGATGGCCGCTTGCAAGCTTTTAAGACCCAGACACCACTCACGGAAGTAGGATGCAGAACATTTTCTTAATAAGCTTTGTTATGCCAGTTGACCTAGATGTCCTCTGAAAGCATGGTCCCCAGACCCCTACTACTGCTACTCTGTCCCTCAAAGTGTTTGATTGTATTCAGGAAACTTCTTAGCTTTGGTTTAGTCCAGTTGTGCTGACTTCCCCTGTAGTGTGTGCTGTCCTTCCCTTCACCTAAGATAATTCTTGTCTACTATCTAGTTAGTGAATAACCCTCACCCTCCCTCCCCACTCTCATAACCATCAAAGAATGTTTTCTTCTGTGTTTAAACCTTTTCTTGAGTTCTTATAATAGTGGTCTTATACAATATTTGTCCTTCTGTGACTGACTAAATTCACTGAGCAGAATGACCTCCAGCTTTCTCCATGTTATGAGATGTTTCACGGTTTTATCGTTGTTCTTTATCGTCGCATAGTATTCCATTGTGTGGATATACCATAATTTCTTTATCCATTCATCCGTTAATGGGCACCTAGGTTGTTCCCATCTTTTTGCTGTTGTAAATGGAACACTTGCTTCTTATGAGAATTCTGGCTGTACTTCTTCCAAGACAGATTTGTTCATTCTTCTGACAGTCCACGGTATATTCAATATTCTTCACCAACACCATATTTCAAAGGCATCAATTCTTCTTGGGTCTTCCTTATTCATTGTATATGAGGCAATTGGAAACACCATGGCTTGGGTCAGGTGCACCTTAGTCCTTAAAGTGATATTTTTGCTTTTGAATGCTTTAAAGAGGTCTTTTGCAGCAGATTTGCCCAATGCTATGCGTTGTTTGATTTTTTGACGGCTGTTTCCGTGGGTGTTGATTGTGGATCTAAGCTAAATGAAATCCTTGACAACTTCAATCTTTTCTCCATTTATCATGATGTTGCTTATTGGTCCAGTTTTTAGGATTTTTTTTTTTTTATGTGAGGTGTAATCCGTACTGAAGGCTGTAGTCTTTGATCTTTATCAATATGTGCTTCAAGTCCTCTTCACTTTCAGCAACCAAGGTTGTGTCCTGTGCATATCACAGGTTGTTAATGAGTCTTCCTCCAGTCCTGATGCCGTATTCTTCATATAGTCCAGCTTCTCAGATTACAGGATTAGGTTGTATCTTGAGTGAATCTCTTGAGATATGAAAGAGAAGTGAACAGAGAACAGAGGGACCTCCTACTACCAAGAAGATGAACTGGGATCAGAGCATGTCCTTTGGACCTAGGGTCCCTGTGCCTAAGAAGTTCCTAGCCCAGGGGAGACTGATGACAAGGACCTTCCCCCAGAGCTGATGGAGAGAAAAAGCCTTCCCCTAGAGCTGGCCCTCTAAATTGGACTTCCACCCCTCCTAAACTGTGAGGGAATAAATTTCTGTTTGTCAAAGCCATCCACTTGTGGTATTTCTGTTACGGCAGCACTAGGTAACTAAGACAGAAGAGGAGAAGAGTTGGATGATGTTGGTATTTTGTCAGTTATAGTAATAACTCCACTTATGTAAGGTTCTGGATCACCTGGATTATTCTTGGGAATGGGGATGGTGTTTCTAGTTCGAAAATTAGTGAGAGTTGTCTGTATGGTCCTTTTCTTTTTTTCTTCATATATTTCACGATAATATCTCACTGCTTCCCAAATCTGCCTGTCAACTTTAGCAAAGCGATCAGCATTTGGGTCTGTGTTTTCAAGCAACGGAAGCCCCTGATTAGTTTAGAAAACTAAATCTATACAGCAGTGTTTTGAACAGTAAATCATAAAATTGAACATCTGTGAGAGAGCATCTGAGAATGATAACATCAGCAAATTTCGCTCTGCAACATTGTATGTAGTACATATCACTAATGATAAGATGCTTCCCCCCCTGCAAAAAAAAAAAAAAAAGACTGCCATAAATTCAGTTCGTCATAACTCAAATATGTTGTAAATCGGGGAATACCTGTAATCCATACTGAGGGCTATAGTCTTGGATGTTCATCTGTAAGTGCTTCAAGTTAATGTCATTTTTGGACAAGCAAAGTTGTATTATCTGCATATCATAGGTTGTTAATGAATCTTTCTGCAATCCTGATTCTACGTTCTTCTTCATACAGTCTGGCTTCTTGGATTATTTGTTCAGCAAACCATGCAGTGAGATGTTATCGTGAAATACATTAAAAAAAAAGAAAGAAAAGGACCATACAGACAAGTATCACTAATTTTCTAACTAGAAACGCCATCTTCATTCCCAGGGATAATCCAGACAGAATAAATAAAGGAAAAGGATACAGTTTTTTATCAGGCAGAATCCTGAATGACTGCCTCTTGATCCATGTTATGTGTTCTGAATGAGCACAATTTAAGTGTTCTAAAATTCCCATCCTTCACAGTGCTATCCATAATTTGTTATGATCCACACAGTCGAATGCCTTTGCATAGTCAATAAAACACAGGTATACATCTTTCTTGTATTCTCTCTTTTCAGCCAAGATCCATCTGACAGTAACAATGGTACCCTTATTCCACGTCCTCTTGTGAATCCAGCATGAACTTCTGGCAGTTCCTGTTGATGTACGGCTGCAGTCGTTTTTTAATTATCTTCAGCAGAATTTTGCTAATGTGTGATATTATTTGTTTGATGATTTTCGCATTCCGTTTGATCACCTTGATTTTTTGCATTTGATTCTGTATCAGCATCTTCATTCTTTGTAAAGGCTGTGTAATATTCTATTATATTAATATACCACAATTTTTCAGTGAGCCTTATGATAGACATTTAGATGGCTTTTTCTCTTAAAAGCCTGCTGATATATAGGATAAATATTCAGAAGAATTGCTGTAATTTTGGTAGATATCATCCGATTTCTCACCAGTGTATATTTCCACCAAAAATGTATGAGAGTATTCATCTTCTTCCACATTCTCACCAACATACTGTGTTATCAGACATTTTATCTTAGTCTTTTAAAGAGGAAAAGGGGATTGTGAATGTCCTTTTCTGTGAACTTTTTGTGCATATTCTTTTCCAGTTTCTGTGAGTTATTTGATCTTTTTTTAATTGATCTTTAGAAGTTATTGATATATAGGAAAATCAGCATTTTGTGAGATGTGGCTCGTCATTTGTATTTTGAGTTTGCTGATTTTTGACAAGAAAAAAAATTTAAATGTTTATGCAGTTAAGTTTACCAGGGTTGTTTTTTTTTTTTTCTTTTTTGCTTGCTTTCTTTCTTTTTTTGTATGATTTATAGCTCCAGATTTTGCATCATAGTTGGAAAGGTCTTTCCCACTCAAAGATTATAAAAAGATTCTTTGACGTTTTCTCTGAATACTGTTAAAGCCAAGCTTTCAAAAATGTTCTTTCTCCTCTTGAAAAAAGTATAACAGATTCCCGTTTCTAGTTTTCTGACATCTGGGTAATCTCTGTAATCCTGCAGATACCTCTAAGAGGTGCTCAGCCATGTTATTTAGAAATTCTCTTGGTAACTTGAGGTATAGTTTGTCTAATCTAGGAATTTGAACTCATTTTGGTTAAAAAGATGCTTTCTAATAAGTTTTTACTCCTTTACTAATAATTATTCCATCCTTTTTTTTTTTTTCAGAACAAAGTTCATTCTTTTTGATATAAGGTATGCAAAAGCAAAATAAAAATTAAGTTCTACTTCTGCACAAATTCACATTTATATTTGAGTACTTGAGGCCTTGTCTTGATGTTTCTTGTTCTCAGGTGGAAGAGGATGATCTTGACTACACAACCAAACCTATTTCCCATATTCTTAGATTTTTCAAGAAATATTTAATGGGGAACTACCACATATAAATCCACTGCCGTCAAGTCGATTCCGACTGATAGTTACCAGGACAGAGTAGAACAGCCCCATAGGGTTTCCAAGGCTGTAAATCTTTATGGAAGCCGACTGCCACATCTTTCTCCTGCAGAGCAGCTTTTGGGTTCAAACCATTGACCTTTTGGTTAGCAGCAGAGCCACACGGCTCCTGAACTACTACATGTAGACCTGTTATAATATGGTCTTTACTTTTAAGGAAAGGCAAAGCTACTACACATAATGGTATTATTATTACTAATATTAGATAATAGATATTTGTCACTTTAAATATAGCCCACGACTTTTGTTAAAAACTTTTTTATTTGCAAGAATGGTTGGATTGTGCTTGGGTGAAACACTCAGAAGTTCTGAAAGAACTTTTTCTTCTCTGCAGTTCATTTTTTTAAGGTGTAGTGGTAAACTGGATTCTCAGAATTGGACATAAAAGAAGGCTAGGCCATATATGTGTCAGCTCCATTCTACAAACCCAGTCATGACATGTTCTTCCAGCTGCTTGTGGCAGGTGAAATATATATATGTATTTGAGTTACATTAGCTTTCAGTTTTTCTGTAAAGGAAGATGACCCATTTATTCAAATTATGTCCATCTGGTCAGGTTTCAATGTTTCCTTTGTCATTTTTTTAGTTTGCTTTGTTAAATTCAGGTTGGTACTTGTTTCTTGAAAGCTACTGAATAAGCTCTGACTTTAATGTGAATTAGAGGTCCCAACTTGTTTCACAATTATCTTAGAGCTTAAAAAGTTATATATTAATAAATGCAATGGAAAAAATATATATGAACTTGCATTTGCTTTCTTGTAAAAATTAAAATGTATCTTTATTGAACCCAAATAAATTTCAGAAATTGATTTTCCATGTTAATGTAATTGCAGCTGCTATTTCATTAGAAAAAAACCATGTTTTTCCCCTGAGAATTTCTGTATTTTCTAGTGAGATTCTTTTCCTGTCATAGCACCAGTCTACGAGGTTGATAAGAAAAAACATTCAGGTATTTTTTTTATTTTTATGACATAATTCTGCCCTCCCACTTAACTTCCTCTTTCTTTCCTGCCATTACTCTTTCTACATTCCCACTTGTTCTCACCCCAATTTGGGAGTAATAATGGTAGATGAACATAGAAAGGAGGGGAAGATATATTAGAGTTTGCTATTCATTGATCATTTCTGTTCCTTTACTTGCCCCAAAGTCCTGAATTGAACCAAACTGTACCAATATCTGAAGTATTGTTACTGTGTGCTGATCAAGTAACACAGACTGTGGATATCATAGAATATATGTTGGTATAGTGCCTGAAAACAATAAGCCTGTCATCATCTGTTTCCTGTTTGCTCTTATCTGGAGCAAAATAGTGAAGGTTGGAGGGGGGGGAGGGGTGGCATTCTCTGAACCATAGGAGTATGAAATAACTATGCAGGTAGTCTGGGCGAACTGGGATTAATTTATCACATCTAGACTGAAGGAGTGACACTAAGAAGCAACAATTCAACAAGCAGTCAGTGAGAGCGTATCTCATATGTTTAAGTGAGTCAGAATAAAACATGAGATGTTAGATTGAGTAATTAACTGCAAGATGATGTTAGAGTAGCTCTTTGTAGAGCAGTGAAGTCGAATGAGCTTTAGTAGGTAAAAGCTCAAGCCTTGGTGTCAGCCTACCTGTCACTTACCAGTAGTATTGAACTTCAGCAAATGATGTCACCTCTTTTTGTATCAATGGCTTCATCTGCAAAGTGAGGATGATAAGAGAATGCCTACCTTTGCTGAATAAACACACATACACAACTTAGAATGTAGTTCCCGTCACAGAAAAAGCCCTCAAGAAATGTTAGGGTTTTTTGTTTTTCTCTCTTTTTAAAGCTTTTTTATATTACTGTGAAAGTATTAGAGTATTATAAAATTAAAGATGCTAAGTTGAGTATTTTCTTAGCAGAAAATATTTGTATGTAAACAATTGGCAATTCTAGCTTGTCTTGTGAGAGTTAACTAATTACGTAGATTATTTTGTTTTTTCCAATGGTGATAATCATTTTGTAACATCATACGTTGACTGTGCACTTCATCCTGTCAGTCATTATCTGGCTTGTATTATACTTTCAGAAAATTACAAATTTACCCATTCCCATTCTTTGTGGCATTTTCTAGTCTTCTGGTTTTTTTCTTATCTAAATCTAATAGAAGTATCTTCCTCTGTTTAAATTACATTTGCTCTTTGGGCATTTTTCTTTGTAATTATAATTTCTTCTTTATCAGTCTGTCTCATATGACTTTTAAAATTTGTTCCTCTGAAGTTTTCTCAAAAATGTTGCTTAATATATAGCTCCTTTTTCCACTTAAAATTTTACTCTTGTGAATCACCTAGGAAAAAATACATTTAAAAGAAAAAAATTGCCTTTTTAAAATTACAATGTGTACTTGGAATCTGAAAGATCCACTCTGTATAGTAGAAATAACATCTAAAGTATTATGTTGTTCTTGTGTGCCATTGAGTCAGTTCTGACTCATAGCAAACCTGTAGGACAAAGTAGAAGTGTGCTATAGGGTTTCCTAGGCTATAATCCTTACAAGAGCAGATTGCCGGGTCTTTTCTACCGTGGAGCCACTGGGTAGGTTCTAATTGCTGACCAGCCAGTTAGCAGCCCAGAACTTAACCATTGTGCCACCAGAGCTCCTTAAAGTATTATAGTTATCTGATAGATCTTAATTGATACTGTTACCACTTGAAATTTGGAATTTGATTCAGCCTTACAGAAATGAATCTTAAAATATAAATGTAAGATTTATCATCTTATATTGTTGGGTTTATAAATTAAATCTTAATGATTATGCTTTGCTTGTCTTCATAATCAGACAGCAACTGCTTATCAGAAATGCAAACAACACTTAAAAGATGGTACCTACTTAATGTTCATTCTCAGTTTAAAACTCTGTTTTACTAAACAATAATCAGGACTGCTTATTTTCTGTGACAGTGTGATTCAGAGTTCATTTTCTGTGAGAAAAATTGTAGATTAAAATAAAAATACAAACAACTTAGGCTTTAAGGACCTAAGGAGATCACCCCCAAGTAAATCATATGGTCCTATGAGCCTTCGAGGCCCAGTTTAAGGGCCACCTGCTCTGCATTGACTTTTTTTGTGCTGATTTGCAAAATTAGAAAATTGTAGCTTTAGAATTCTGGTGGGTTTCCCAAAATGATTTTTTTTTTAATGTTAGTCCATACAAATGGTTATGCCCCTATTCTTTATTTTTATTATACTTGATCATATTTATTTTAATGAAGTATAAACAGTAGTTGTAGGGTTTGAGCCTAGACTACAGTCTTTAGGAAATTCTCTTGGTTGGTAGCAAACACGGTGTTTTAAAGATAGTCATCTGACTCACTCTGTTTTTTTATGGTTTACTTATAAAAATGAGTTTTCCATGACTTTTCGGATAGGAATAAAGGATAACATTTATTGTATTGCATGATATATTTACTATAAAATCTATATATTGCTTCTGATGAAAACTTGAATTTTGTTTCAGTCAGTCAAACCTCTGAGTAATATTTTTTAAAAAACTTTCTTTATGAAAAAGAAATAAATCAAGAAGAAAACCAGAGTCTGGAGTGAAATAATACAGTGTTATGACTTTAATACACTGTTGTCTTTTCAGGCTCATGAGAGGCTAGAAGATTCAAAACTAGAAGCTGTCAGTGACAATAACTTGGAATTAGTCAATGAGATTCTTGAAGATATCACTCCTCTGATAAATGTGGATGAAAATGTGGCAGAACTGGTTGGTATACTCAAAGAGCCTCACTTCCAGGTAACTTTTCCCTGTCACTCTTCTCCCCAGGTCCCACATCCTTTACTAGTTAAGTTCCAGTTTTAGGTGATTTTTTTTAAGATTATTTAGGGCCATGTTTTATAAATATGTGAATTCTAACTAAGGTATTTTAATATCCTGATATGCCGAAGATTCATAAACAGATACATACATAAATGTATGTCACGGAAGTACATCGAGTGGACTTCCTTTGTGTAAAAAAAAAAAAAAAATTCCCTGATTCACCATTAGACTATATGATAGAGAGATTTTTGGCACGGTGATAATGGATTTTCCCCACTATCGCTCTGTGTCCCAGCCCTTCTTGTGACCAGTAGTATACATTTTCAGTGTTGCTGCTTAAGACTGGGGTGCAGTTGATAACCTGGAATAAAGAATTGTGTAAGCATAGAAACTATTATATAACACACTCTCCATAGGTACAAAAGTAAGTGTGATTTAAGCATTTAGTCTGTATCAGTTTGCTTAGTTTAACAAAGAAACATCAATCTCAAAAGAAAAAGGTGGAAAGATTTCTTACAATGATTAAGACAGTGTGGTATTGGGCAGTGTTAGAAAAATAGACTAATTCAACAGAATAGAAGCCCAGAAATAGATCCACGCATATGTAGAAACTAAGTTTATGATAGAGATGTTACATTTTAATGGACTGTCAATTAATGGTGCTAAGGTAAAGAAAATAAAGTGTCACTTGCTTTTCGTTGCAGATCCTAGTATTGAAAATCAAACGGTAACACCACTTTGCTCTTTCTCAGCCAGAGTCTTTATGTGACACTCCACCAGTATTACTGCAGAATGTGAAGAATTATAGTGAGATGGTTCCTACATAAATCTCTCTTTGGTACAAAAAGTGGACACATGTCAGAGACACCCTTTATGCAGGAGCCAGTTGATTGAGGTCTTATAAGACGTACTAAGGTGTTTAGACTTCATTCTGAAGACAGTGTAAAATCTTGGGGCAGGGGGTGTATATTAACCAAGGAGAGGTCAGATTTGTAGAGCAAGATGGTTATTACTAAGGCAAGAAATTGTGATGACAGTATAAATAGTGGGAAATGTGACGATTTACGAGTTTCAAGCAGTAAAATCAACAGGCCTTGGTGATTAGTTAGCTATGGGAGGCACAAAATAGACGTGTGAGAAGGATAAGGACAAGATTTCTGGCATAAACAGTTGATGATCATTCACTAGGATAGGGAAAACTCTAGGAGAAAAGACTTTAGACATTAGTTTTGAGCTAACTGGCCATGTTAATTTTGTGATACTTCTGAAGCATCTAGGTGGAGCTTTCAGACATGCTGTATATATTTTTTATTTTTTTATTTTTTTGGAGATCTGGTGGCACAGTGGTTAAGAGTTTGGCTGCTAATCAAAAAGTTGGCAGTTCGAATCCACCAGCCACTCCTGGGAAACCCTATGGGGCAATTCTACTCTGTCCTGTAGGGTTACAATGAGTCAGAATTGACTTGATGGCAGTGGATTTGGTTTTGGTTTCGTTTTTATGTATTTTTAATAAGTATGTAAAGTTTAGTAAATATATAAATTATATAAACTTTAATACATAAAATTAGAAAAAAATACAGGTGAGAAAAATTATAAAAATTAAAGCATTGCATTGTGCTACCCAAATCACTACTGTAATCTTAGTGCGTAGTCTTCCATATTTTTTGTACATACAAATATATGTATATATTTCTTTACTAATTGGAGATAATTTTGTACAGGCTATTTTGTAACTTGCCTTTTTTTCAGTATTGATTTCCACTTTTCCATTTCAGTAGACTTCTATTTCAGATACTGCACGTACGATGCTCAACTTTCTCCATTTGACGCAGAAGTGTTCTTAACAGCTGGTTTGTCCATATCCATTTACAGTCTAGGTCCATGCATGGCATCTGGCTACATCCTCCACCTCCCTGACCTATTGAAGGGACCAGGCCAGTTGACCTGCAGAATGTCCCACTCTCTGGATTTGTCTGGTTGTTTCCTTCTTGCTTAGTTGTCCTGGTTATTTAGTTATCCTGCTATCCTCTCCATTGCCTCTAAACGGAAGTTCTTCCTAAAAGGTTAATGGTTCACGTTAATTATTGGGACTAGACTATATCTGAAGTGATATGATGCAACATGAATTATGCAACATGTTTGTATTATCAGAAGACATATAACACCTGGTTTCCCCACCACTATTGAGGCTGAAATTGGCCCTATGATGACAATCTGATCATTCCTTTGAAATCATTTTCTCCAGTAACTAGGGAGTAATCTGTGTTATTATTTTAGCATTATACAAATACTCTTTCCTATCAACCATTTACGTGATGATGAACACGGGTTGATAATCTTTGCCTGAATCAGTATTGTCATTATAGGTTGCAAAATAATATTTTCTAGATTCTCTCATTCTACATTTATTAGGTGGTGTTCTATAAAGTGGAATTGTTCTTCATCAACTTGGGCTATGTAGTTACCCTAAAGTGCATGTTCTGTTGAAAAGGGAGGATGAACGCTTGGTTCTTCCCTTACCAGTTTTCAAAGTAAAGAGATATTTCAAATAGCAGTCATAAATAGTGACAAATGAGTTTTTTTAGTCTTCTTGGTTTTTTAAAATATCCTTATGGACTTACGGATTTTTTTATTAATTCTGCGTGTTTCAGTATTCTGCAGTCCTTATTTTGATTTCCAAATTGTCGTGTCTTTGGCCATTTGTGGGCAGATTTTGAGATTGTAAGTTACCAATGTGTAAGTAGTGGTTCAAGTCGTGGGAGTGGATAATACTGCCTAAGAGAGTATAAGGTTGCTATGAGTCAGAATCGACTTGACTGCACTGGCTTTAGTTTTGGAGCCCTGGTGGCATAGTGGTGAAGAGCTCGGCTGCTAACCAAAAGGTTGGTGCTCCTTGGAAACCCTACGGGACAGTTCTACTCTGTCCTGTAGGGTCGCTGTGAATCGGAACCAACTCAACACATAACAACAACAAGAGAGCGTAGGGTAAAAAGCGAAGCAGCCCGGGTTGGAGCTTTGAGTAACTTCTAGCAGCTGTAAGTAGCATTCTCATGTATCAATTTGCAGTAGTTTTTATTCTTTTTGCATTTTTTTCTCCAGTTTCTTACACATATTTTCGTGAAGTGACCGGAAGTTATGAATTAACCCGATACCTTGATTACTTTTATTCTAAACTTGTTGACACTTGGTCCCTTCTATTTACTATTTTGAATTTGCATTTCATCAACTCAAAAAATTTTTTTAAACTTACTTTATGTTGAGGGTAGCAATAGCAGCATAAATCATTCTTATAGGATAAGGAATGAAAAATAATAAATAATACCTAAAAAAATTGCAAGAAATTCTTAGAAAACTAGATCAAAGTCATTCTTGATGATAGCGCATATAGTAGTAAGTGTAGACAGTGAAACATATATTATCTTTAGGACTATTACCAGCTTATCCCTCCTCAGCCCCCGTATGCATCTTTTATACACCCAAACTTTTGTAGACCAAAATTTCCTATCACTGATATAAGATGCTGATATGTATCCATTTTTTTATTGTATGTATTTTTAACAGACATTTTGTACGTGTAAAAAATATATGGTATTACTAACATAACAACTTGAAGATAAAAATTTAGAATCCCAGCCATCTGAGTTTGTATTATACTCAGTAAATATTGTTTGATAATCAGTATTGAATGATGATGATAATTGCAGCAATGAAATCCAGTGCCTTCATCACCCCAGACTTGGAAGTCTAAGTTCAATTTTCACTGAATATGCAACTTAAAAAAAAAGTTACTAAATGATTTGTCTCTTCAAATTCAAAGCGAGGAATGTGATAATTGATGATAATAAATAAAACTCGATGCGTTTGTATTTCTTGAAATGATGCTATGTTCATTTGATTTAACTCATGCATGGGAATTTAATAATGTGTGCCTTGAATATTTTTAGTACCCCACTGGGATAATGAGCCAACAAATTATTTTTTATATATTAACTTATTCTGTCGATAGTTAATAATCATAGGCTATTTTGACTCCTTATAGTCACTCTTGGAGGCCCATGATATTGTGGCATCAAAGTGTTACGATTCACCTCCATCAAGCCCAGAAATGAACAATTCTGTCAATAATCAGTTATTACCAGTAGATGCCATTCGTATTCTTGGTATTCACAAAAGAGCTGGGGAGCCGCTGGTGAGTAGATAAATCAGTGCTTTCTTAAATCGGAAATCTAACATTCGTGACTCAGTCAATACTCTTATCTCATTTTTTTCTTTTTGATAGTTTGTATTATTTTGAAAACTGTGTTCATGTTTTATCAGTCTTTTTTATATGTGTATAAGTACACAGCTTATGCTCTCAACTTTGATTTAGTATGCAAAATTAAACCAAAATAAAAAAGTTAAACTGAAGGAGAAGCTAGAAGTTTGCCAATTGGTAGCAAAAATTTCAGAAGATATCTGCTCCTTTTATCACTATCTTTTGAGGAAAGTTCCTTGCTAATGACAACATCCACACACAGAGGAATGTTGTTATTAAAAATAGAAGCCATGGTAGGACTCTGTAAGTAGGAAAATTTACTATTTCCTGCTTAAATTATTATTTCTAGATCCGGACTATAAGAACAGTGAAACAGAAAAAAAAAAGGTCAGAAGCAAGACCATCAGAATGTACAAATACCTATACATGTTCTCTTGAGCTTCCTTTTATCCTATAGAATCCAGCATAGATGCTAGCTTATCAGTTTCATTTTAAAGGTTAACTTTACTACGGAAGACCTTTTCTTACCGGGTAGTATATGTCATCACGGTTGCCCATAGTTCATTGGGACTGGAAGCTTGAGAGAGTTAGGAGAGAACATGGGAAACGTGGGATTCACTCACCTATTTTTAGATTTCTTTTGTTATATGTGTTCAAGTATTTCCTTCTAATGATCTAAAATAAATGGTAATGTTATTTTCTGTAGGGTGTAACATTTAGGGTTGAAAATAATGATCTCGTGATTGCCCGAATCCTTCATGGAGGAATGATAGATCGACAAGGTCTGCTTCATGTGGGAGATATCATTAAAGAAGTCAATGGCCACGAGGTTGGAAACAATCCAAAGGAATTACAAGAATTACTGAAAAATATTAGTGGAAGTGTCACCCTAAAAATTTTACCAAGCTATAGAGATACTATTACTCCTCAACAGGTAATAAAATTCTTGGTAATATTAAGATAGTTTTATTTCTTTAATCATACTGTTGGATGTAACCACCAGTGGTTACTCTTTTTCTAAAGAAATGTGAAAAAACAGATTTAATTGTTCTGAGTTGCTTTATTTTGTCATAGGTGAATTTTTGAATTTTTAAAAAGTTAACAGTATTTTGCTATTATAAAGAATTAATAAAGATATTTCTTTGTGAACACTCATGAACCCTTTTGTTAGAGTAACCTACCACTAGATACCAGAAAAACCAATCAAGCCTTTTAATCGTCAGTTTAGGAAACATTTTTGACACCTGTTATGTTCAAGGCATTGTACTGGGCACCGTGAGAGGATAAGAATGTAGTCCAGATTGCCTCTAGCTTAGTGTTCATGTGATGGGCTACATGAAGAATGAGACCAGAAGAGGAGGACAGGTCCTCACTGAAGAGGATCTTAACTACCTGGTTTGCACACTTTTGACTTGTATTTTATAACTAGTTTTTAGGTAACACAGATTATTGAACAGGGGAATGTTTTAATGATAGTAGTGCTTTATTAAGACTTGTCTGCCCTCATTATATTAAGTGAGTTTCAAAAAGAAGAGAGTTGAGATGGTGTAACCAGGTAGAAAATTTTTGAAGGTGTGCGGTGATGTGTGAAAGACAACCCTATTGAATGGTTAGGACTGCTTACGTTAAATTACCACTACTGCCACTAAATAGCTGTTTCACTTTGGGCAGGCTACTTCGTCTCTCTCTGCCTCGTTTTTCTCATCTGTATATTTAGGGATAATATTTCCTTTCTCAAAAGGTTGTTATGAGGATGAAATGAGTTTATTTATGTAAAGATCTCATTAACTGTGCCTGGCACATAATAAGTGCTCAACAAGTAGCTAGTATTGTGGTGGTGGTGGTGGTGGCAGCCAGGTATCAGTGGTATAATAGAATTGTAAAGAAAGAAAAGGTAGCAAAGTAATTGCAAGAAAGAATTGATGTTTATTTAAATATGGTAGAAGTGTTGAAGCAGAGACAGGGTTTTCAAGCCTAGATAATGTAGAAATAGGAAATTTCTGCCAGTTTTTTTAGATTGATACCTTTAATATTTAGGTTTATTCCAGAAATTTATTGTCTGATATGTGTGTGAAATTGTAAGCTTTCCTACATAAAATACTGCCAGTGTACCTTATTTTCATATTGTTAATACGAGAATTAAAAAGCCTAGTTTTTAAATTTCCATACAATTCTTTGAAATAACACATGTCGAATACCTGTTTTATCCTATTCTTTGGATGATAGGATAAAATACTTAGTCATTAATTTTAGCGTGTGAATTGGACTTCTGAAAATTAGTAGACTTGTAATGAACTTTGGTGGAAATGAAGCAGAGACCTTATTTTCAAGGAAAAGAATTGTGAAAGAAATGACGTTACATTTCATATCACTAGTACCTCTCAGACTGCCTCCGTTCCTCAATAGGTACATTTCCGTTGGTGACAATATGAGATCTATGTTAAGCCTGAGTAGATTGGAAGAGTAAAACCTAAGATTTATTTGTTATTTTTTTATTATTATGTGTTAATTGTGCGATTTGGGAAGATTTTTTTCCTGTGGTCCAAACTCTAGAATTCTTACCAGCTTACCATGGTTGTAATGGACTTTTATGGGCAAAATATATTTTTGTAATATTAATAGCTATGGCTTTGGCCCAAATTCCTGAATAGCGTGAAATGCAAAGATATTTAGCCTTGGCTTAAGTCCTCTGGAGCCCTGGTGGCAAAGTGGTTAAGCAGTTGGCTGCTAACCAAAAGGTAGGCAGTTCAAATCCACCAGCTGCTCCTTGGAAACCCTATGGGGCAGTTCTACTCTGTCCTATAGTGTCTCTGTGAGTCGGAATCAACTCAACGGCAGTGGGTTTGGTTTTTGGTTTTTAAGTCCTCCAGCATAAAATTTTCCCTGTCCCATGCCTTCTCAAACTCTGGTTTTTACTTAGCCTTTATAGCTGGGGGAGGGGATTAAAGTGGGAGAAGGAGAGCTCATCCAAGGCTGTGGCAGTCTCAAGCTTTTCCTGTCATAAAAAAAATAAGAGACTAATAGCATGAAGAATTCAAAAAAAAGGGCTAAGACATATCCAAATCGGGACATTTTTGAGAGTGAAAGGAGGAACTATTACTAATTATACTAGAACAGTAGGCATAAACTAGGCATATTGTCCTTGGCAAACCATAATCATCCTACTCAGAGATACTATGGGGAAGGAGGGATTTTTAGCCTCTTCAGCCGTTCTGTTAGGAGCTCCACCATATAGTACTCTGGAAACAATCTCAACTCCTCTTCTGGATTAATGTGAGAGCAGATGGCAAATGGAAGCCAGGAGCTCTCCCTAACAGGGCGATGTTTTTCAAATTATGGTCAGTAGATCATCTTTATCAGAATCATTTGAGATGCTTGCTAAAAATCCAAAATCTTTTATGGGACCTTAAGGATCTGTATTTTTAAGTATGAGAACCAGGGTAAGTTAGAAGTTGTAGCTAAGTCTGAAGCTCTTCAATTTACATATAGGTAGGATTCCTAAAGGCTGCTCATAATTCCATTTGCTCATTAAGGCCAAACTGATAGGAATTCTCCCTTACTTATTCTTTAAGGCCAACATGACACATATACCAAAAGCATTATAAGAAAAGAAAGTACCAGGTCTATTTCACTCAAGAATATATATGTAAAAATTCTAAACAAAGTATTAGTAAATCAAATTTTATGGTGTATAAAAAAGATAATATACCATGTCCAAGTTGGATTTATCCCAGGTATGCAAGGATAGTCTCATTAGAAAATCCATGTTGTTGTTGTTGTGCTGTCAAGTCGGTTCCGACTTATAGCGACCCTATGTTCCACAGAACGAAACACTGCCTGGTCCTGCGCCATCCTCACAATCATTGTTATGCTTGAGCCCATTGTTGCAGCCACTGTGTCAGTCCATCTCGTTGAGGGTCTTCCTCTTTTTCAGTGACCGTCTACTAAGCATGATGTCCTTCTCCAGGAACTAGTCACTTCTGATAACATGTCCAAAGTATGTGAGATGAAGTCTCACCATCCTTACTTCCAAGGGGCATTCCAGCTGTACTTCTTCCAAGGCAGATTTGTTCGTTCTTCTGGCAGTCCATGGTATAGGCACTATTCTTTGCCAACACCATAATTCAAAGGTGTCACTTCTTCTTCGGTCTTCCTTATTCATTGTCTAGCTTTCGCATGCATATGAGGCGATTGAAAACACCATGGCTTGGGTCAGGCGCACCTTAGTCCTCAAAGTGACATCTTTGCTTTTGAACACTTTAAAGAGGTCTTTTGCAGCAGATTTGCCCAATGCAATACGTCGTTTGAGTTCTTGACTGCTGCTTCCATGGATGTCGATTGTGGATCCGAGTAAAATAAAATCCTCAACAACTTCAGTATTTTCTCCGTTTATCATGATGGTGCTTATTAATCCAGTTGTGAGGATTTTTATTTTCTTTCAGTTGAGGTATAATCCATACTGAAGGCTGTAGTCTTTTATCTTCATCAGTAAGTGCTTCAAGTCTTCTTCACTTTCAGCAAAGAAGGTTGTGTCATTTGCATATTGCAGGTTGTTAATGAGCCTTCCTCCAATCCTGATGCCCCGTTCTTCTTCATACAGTCTAGCTTCTTGAATTATTTGCTCAGCTTAGAGATTGAATAAGTATGGTGAAAGCATACAAGCCTGATGCACAACTTTCCTGATTTTAAACCATGCATTATCCCCTTGTTCTGTTCAAATGACAGCCTCTTGGTTTATGTACAGGTTCCTCATGAGTACAATTACGTGTTCTGGAATTCCCATTCTTTGCAGTGTTATTCATAATTTGTTATCATCCACACAGTTGAATGCCTTTGCATAGTTAATAAAATACAGGTAAACATCTTTCTGGTATTTTTTGCTTTCAGCTGGGATCTATCTGACATCAGCAGTGATATCCCTTGTTACATGTCCTCTTCTGAATTTGACTTGAACTTCTGGAAGTTCCCTGTTGATGTTCTGCTACAACCCCTTTTGAATGATCTTCATCAAAATTTTACTCATGTGTGATATTAATGATATTATTTGATAATTTCCACATTCTGTTGGATCACCTTTCTTTGGAACGGGCACAAATATAATCTCTTCCAATTGGTTGGCCACATAGCTGTCTTCCAGATTTCTTGGCATAGACGAGTGAGCACCTCTAGTACTACATCCATTTGTTGAAACATCTCAGTTGGTATTCCATCAGTTCCTGGAGCCTTGCTTTTCACAGATGCTTTCAGTGCAGCTTGGACTTCTTCCTTCAGTACCATTGGTTCTTGATCGTATGCTGTCTCCTGAAATGGTTGAATGTTGACCAATTCTTTTTGGTACAGTGACTCTGTATTCCTTCCATCTTCTTCTAGCTTGATGTAATTCTTTGTTCTTCTTTTCTTAATGCATCCTTTTTCTTTGATTGCTTTCAAGATTTTCTCATTACTGGTTTTAAGCCGTTTTGTTATAATGTGTGTTGATGTAGTTTTCTTCATATTTCTTCTCTTTGGGGTTTGTTGACTATTAGGATCTCTCATTTTATAGTTTCATCAAGTTTGGAAAAAATTCAACCATTGTTTCTTCAAAACTTGTTTGTATCCCTACCTTTTTTCCTGTCTTTTACGGATTCTAATTACGCATATATTAGATTCCTTAAAGTTGTCCCATAGCTGACTGATGCTCTGTTTGTTTATTTAAGTCTTTTGTTGTATTTTTCATGTTAGTTTGTATTGCTGTATCTTCAAGTTTATTAATCTTTTCATCTGCAATGTCTAATCTTCTGTTAATCCAATCTGGTATATTTTTCATCACAAACATGGTTTTCATTTCTGGAAGTTCAGTTTGGGTCATTTTCATATTTTGCATGTTTCTACTTAACATGCCTGGTCTTCCTCTGGCTTTTTGAATATATGAATACAATATGTAAAGTAAAACTTAACTATTTTGTCCTTTTATACTAATTCTATCATATTTGTCATTTTTGATCAGTCTTGATTGATTTTTGTCCTCATTGTGGGTTATATTTTCCTGCTTCTTTGCATGCATGATCATTTTTGATTGGCTGCCAGGCATTATAAATTTTAGCTGTTTGATGGCTGGATATTTTTGTATCCTTAGAAATATTCTTGAGCTTTGTTCTATGATAGCAGTTACTTGGAAGCAATTTGATCCTTTCTTACTTTTAAGCTTTGTTAGGTGGGACCAGAGCAGCATTTGGTCTAGGACATTATTCTTCTGAGTACTCTACCCAATACCTTATGAATCATGAGATTTTTCTACTTTTTCTGGTGAGAACAGAAACTGTTCTCAACCCTGTGTGGCCTCGTAATATTGTCCCCTATAATGTTTTTAGGTAGTTCTTTACATGGCCTCAGGTAGTTTCTTCATACACATGGCTCTGATCTCTATTCAGCTGAAGACTAAAGAAAGCCCTCTGCAGTTCTTGAGCCCTCTCTCTGGGCAGCTCTTCCCTCACTGGTACTCTGGTCTGTGTCCTTGTAGCCACCTTGATCTCACTGGTCTTACAGCTCATCTTCTCAACTTGGAGACTACCATATTTTTTTGCAAATAACATGCCCCAACACATATATAACGGCGGCATACCGTGCTTATGAAAATAGTGTGGGGGCAGGAGGGTTGTGTGGTTGGCAAAAAAAACATAATGCACTCATTATTTGCATAAAGATACGGTACAGGGCTCCACCTAAGTTTTGGGCTCCCTTCCTAAGTTGTGGGCTGGAACTTTCTCTCTACAGTTAGCTGGAGCGATTATACATCTCACCTTGTTTGTTTCTGATTTTTAGAGATTACTGTCCTCATTGCCTGATGTGTCTAATGTCTTGAAAATCATTGTTTCGTGTGTTTTGTCAGGTCTTTTAATTGTTTCAGGTTGGAGGGTCTTTGTTACTTCATCTTTGTCAGAAGCAAGGATGATTTCATATTTTATTACCATGTAACAGATGAATCATTCCCATGGTTCGAAAACCCAAAAATACAAGTATGTATTCAGTAAGTCCCCTCTTGACTCTTGTCCCCCACCAGCCTAGTCTTCTCCACTCATACAAGAAACCATGATACTAGTTTATATGTCTTTCCAGAGTTTTATGCATATTCAGGTAAATAAAAATTACATATTCTTATTCCCCTTCTACCACCCTTTTCATGAAAAAGTTGTATAATATACACGCTATGCTGCACCTTGTGTTTTTTGCTTAACCATGTATCTGAGTATCTTTCCTTACTGGTACATAGACTGCCTCTCAATTTTTTTTTTTTTTATAGCTGCATAGTGTTCCATTGCATAGACTTGCCATGAGCTGTTTAACCCATTCCCTATGTTAGTTAAATGATTAGGTTGCTTCCAGTCTTTTGCTATTAAGAATAATTCAGGAGTTAATAGTCTTGTATATAAGTTATTTTGCATATGTTTGACTAACATAGTAGTTGAATACATTCCCAGAAGTGGGTACTAGGTCAAAGGTTTTGCATTTGTAATTTTGCTGTTGCCAGTTGTTCTTCCAGAGGATTGAACCAATTCTCCAATCAAGCTGTTAGGAAAATGCCTCATGGCCCACAGTCCTACCTACAGAATGTTATCAAATATTGGCTTTCTGCTCATCTGATAGGTAGAAAATATTTATCATAATATAATTTGTATTTCTACTCTGAATAAGGTTGAACATGTCTGAAATTTAAAAGCCATTTGTGCTTTCTTTTCTCTATCTGCTGTAGTTTGTTGATCATTCAGTTCTTATCTTTAGTGATAAGAATATGAAATTGTGTATTTTAGCAGGTGGTGTTCAGTAACTTTTTAGTAATGAACAGTTAACATTGTAAGCCATTAGTGAAACACTTAAGAATACACTTAATAAAATATAATCATACTAAATCCAGTCAACCCTTTAATAAGTTTATGATTTTAAGGTCATTACAGAGTGTTTGGAGCTCCTGGTGGCGCAGTGGTTAAAGCTTTCAGCTGCTAACCAAAAGGTTGGCAGTTCAAATCCTCCAGCCGCTCCTTGGAAACCCTATGGGGCAGTTCTGCTCTGTCCTACAGGGTCACTATGAGTTGGAATCCACTCAACAGCAACGGGTTTGGTTTGGTTTTTTGTTTGACAGAATGTTTCAATCAAAGATTGGTTTAATTGGTTTTTCAGACAAATTTTCAAAAGTTCAAAGTAAAATAAGTTAGTCTAAGTTTTTGAGCGTTGGAGTAATGTTCCAAAATAAATTTGATAGATGAAGAATTGTGCCTTCTAGAAGTCACTTTTAGATAGAGAATAACAAACTTTTCCTGCCATCGATGTGGAATGTATGCTGATTCGTTTTATTTTCAAGAAAGTTCTGACAGAGAAATACAGACATAGAGCAAAATAAAGTGCAGTGTGGATGATTCTGTAGCTCAGAAGTTTACTAGGCTAGAAGGCTAATGCTTTTCCCCCCTTTTATTCATAGTAATACGCATAGTTTGCTTAAATTTCTAAAAGCTAAAATTGACCAAATGAATACTTTTCTTAACTACCTTGGAAAATATACTTACTCTAAGTGTTATATGAAAACATTTTTATTAAATATTCTTAAAGTACCTATTAGTTACAGATTAAATTTGCAAAATCGAAATTGACTTGATTTTAAGTTTTGCATTTACTGATATTATTTAAACACTTTCAATGCTAAATCATACGTAGAAAATCTGGAAGTCTATTTCAGTTTTTAAGATAAAAATAATATGTAAGTATAAACCCATTTTAGAGAAATAATTTATTTCCTTTAAATTAAATTTAATAAGTATAAAAAAGTAAATGCAATCTATATGAAAATACAACAGTTGGCAAAACTATCTCAGAATAGCTTATACAACTTTTATAAAATTTGCCAAAATTTTGTCTCACCTTAAAAGGCGAGAAAAAGATGTGCCAGTCTGCTTCCATAAAGATTTACAGCTTTGGAAACCCTATGGGGCATTCTCCTCTGCCCTATAGGGAGGGTTGCAAGGAGTCAGAATTGACTCGTGGGCAGTGGGTTTGGTTTTTGGAGGTTAGATTAAATTGCACGATCATGCTTTATGAATCGAGAATCAGATCACTGGTCTGACAAATAAATGTTCTACAAGCGGCCATTTAGGAGATGTGGTTTCTATTCCACAAATAATGGCAACTTCAGAACAGTTTGATGGGAGCAATGGAGTGAATATTTGAAATTTGGACTGTCTCAGAAAGTCTGAGTTTATGGTTACAAAATATATCCTGTCCCACAAATAAGAATGATAAACACATTCATGGTTAGATGAGAAGATGCTCTTACTATTCATTCAGTGCAGCTTTCTTGAGAAGTAAGGAGTATCTGGGTAGTTTGATAAATTTGCATATCTATCCTTTTTCTCTGCCTCATCTCAAACACCTCTGACTTCTTGCTACTATCATTTATAATTTTCAGCTATTATACCCTGTGGAAAATTAATTAGGGAGGCAGTTTTTTTACCAAATGAATGAAGTAATAAAATGAGCCAGTAGTTTATATATATTTTATTAATTTATAATAACTTAAAATCTGGCTTTATTTATACAATTGAAAAATGTATTTTTAGAGTTGCATCAGTATGGAGAGGCATCCAGCACACGTCCGTCAGGTACGATGTCATTCCAGGACATTCTCTGGTACTCTGTTTTTCTGTCTTATCAGCCAACTAAATTTACCTTGATTGAGCTTAATCATTTTTTTTTGCCAGTACATTAAGCTGCATGCTATTATCAAGTTAGCCGATTGTCACATTTTAGCAATATTAATAATGTTTGTATGCCTGCTTTTTAGATACTTCTAAAATTGAATATCAAGAAAAAAATTACTGGCTTACTGATTTTTTTAAGAATTAATATTTAGCTTTTTCAGATTTATTGAAAATGTTCTGAATGCTTTCTGTCAAAATCACCTCATTGTAAATTACTAAAATTTTGTCACATGATCCCAAATTCAGTTGTTTTTAAATTATTTTAATATACATAGATCATATTACATTTTACTGTACTACTAATATAATGCATCTATTTGTGTTATTTGAATATCTTGTTTAGTTGTATTTGTAGAAGTGTGATAAATAGAAAAATAGCACGTAATTATTTTCACTAGTTATGCGCTTTCCTGCTTATTAAAGCTGATTAATGCTAATAGAAAAAGGTGATTCTTTAGAAGATAAAACTTGGATTTCTATAAATATGTATGAAACAAATCTGTTTTAAGAAAATGATGGGTGTGAACTTGTCACCAAATACTGAAAATGCTTAATTTAATTAGAATTTAAATTAAAATGAATCAGCAAAATAGTCCAAATACTGGAGATCCTAACTAACAGTGGTGAATGACTGACATTCTTTTTCTAATAAAGCAAATTTAAAATAAATTTATAGAGTTAAATGAATTTAAATTGGAAAATAGTTTCAAGGCTTTTTCAGTATTTGTGTTACAATTAATTTAAATGCAGTGATCATATAAATCACAGCAAGATGATTCCAAAAAAGTATTTCAACACCAGTTTTGGCCAGTGTAAGTCTGTGTGATTAAAAAATATATATATTACCGGTGATAAATTAGAGTTCTGATTTTTTTAAGGTTACCAGATACATTCGGGTCTGACTTCAACATGAACTTTTCTTGTTTAATTTTGGTTTTGGGGGTCCTTTCACAAAGTCAGTCCTGATGTATGTGAAATACATGCCTTATATAAATGTCATATATTAGTTCAGGATGTTAATTGGAAAATAGCATTTACTTGCAAAAAAATCACGCAGTGTTGGTTAGAAACATCACGTAAACAGGTTAGGAGAAGTGAAAGGATATTGGAAAAGAATGATTGTCAAACTCTTTGTTGATTTAAAATTAGAAAAGAAGGTAGTATTAATTTTTTTTCATATTTTCTGGTACCAAATTATCAATAACTTGATTTGTATTTGTGAGAGATAAATTCCTTAGCTGAATTACTAAATACATTTTCAAGAACAAAAATCACAGTGTTATGAAAAAAAGATTTCAAAAAATCCAGTGACAAATGATACATTTGTAGTATTTTTAATTGTGTATGTGTTCTAGGTATTTGTGAAATGTCATTTTGATTATAATCCATACAATGATAACCTGATACCCTGCAAAGAAGCAGGATTGAAGTTTTCAAAAGGAGAAATTCTTCAGATTGTAAACAGAGAAGATCCAAATTGGTGGCAGGTTAGTGTGCTTCTCAACATTTCCTCAACTGCTTTTCTATTTTCAGTCTTAAATCTGGCCCATATCTGAATATTCAGGAAGAAAGTAGTAGCATTTGTTCCAGTGATTTTTCCTGCATAAACAGCTCCTGCCTCGTGGCTACTAATTTTGTGGACAGAAGACCAAATTGAGACAGAACTTGTGAGTAGCAGTCAATAAATGTAGAATTCACCAGCCTGTTAATAAATGTAGAATCCCATTGGTTTAGGGATCAGACCAATTGGTTCTTCCACTTAAGGGTATTCATGGGTGATAACAAGTAAAATATACTGTTGGACAAGAAGAACTCACTTGGAGTCACCCCTTTTCTATGTTTGGTTTTTGTTTTAAAAAGGAGTATTTACTATGGATATGGTCTTTCTCTTGTCTGCTCTCCCTCTGTGTACATTCATGGCAAATAACACAATTTCTTAAGCTCTTAAATCTGTTTGCCCACCTCTTCTCAGTTGTTGAGAAATGACAGTTTACTCTATCAGTTTTGTTTGGTCTTGGATTAAAATCTGTGTCTACGGAAAGGGCCTTGTGTTATCACTTGTCCCTCCCTTGGTTTTCCAGATCTATGTGTTGATGCTCTTTTTCCTTTCCCCTAATAAAGCTTGTAGAAATCTCTAGCAGCAGTAATAAGTATTTTCATAATTGTTTTTCTCAGCTAACTACCAAAGTAGCCAGTCATTGGAGAAACTGACAAATCAGAAAGTCTGAAATCATTTAAACTATCATAGCAATGAGAGTCTCATTAAATAACAAGAAATGAGAAGAAAGGACCCAGGGCCCACTAAACTCTAAATTTAACTGAGCTATTGGTAACTCACATTAGCTCAATAAATGATATTGACTTCTAAGGAGAGAGAATCATAGAATAATAGAATAAGAATAATTTTATTAATGTGTCCTTAAATTTAAATTAAAGCATTGTTGTGTAGAAGCACACTCTGTGGTGAGAGAACTAAGAAATGGGTAAATTAAACAGAATCCATGACTTCAAGAGATTTCCACTGAGCCCTCACCCTAAAAATCTGCTTTTTATGGCTGTTTCCTTTACTAAATTTTTACAATTCTCTGTCTTTCTTTTCTCCCCTTCTTTATGAATGACCTGTCAGCTTTCTCTTCTAATCCTGTCACCATTCTCTCACTCACTTCCTGTGTTTTCATAGTCCATTACTTTAATTCTACTTTTCACTATTTTAATTGCTAAAAATGATACCAGAATTTTCTATACTAGTTGTAAAGATAAAGACACTAACTTTGTGGGCTAAGCCACTAGCTGCCAGTTCTCCAGCCACTATTCAAAGATGTCATTTCTTGCATTTTATTTTAAAAGTTAGTTTTTTGACATTAAGTGAAATTTAACTTATTTTAAACTTACTATCTCTTAGGATATTCAGATTTCTGGTATGGTGAATTCAGCTCTCCACTCTCTTTTCACAGTATTGTCACCTTTTCATTGGTTTGGCCTCAGGAAATGCCAGCATAGTAGGATTAAGGTTAATAATAAATATATTAGTAAAGAGTGCTAGGTTAAATGTTTTAACACATCTTATAGAATAGCATTTATTTCTTTTCTGTACTTCTTTGCATTCTTTGTCTAGCTTAGTATGATAAACAAAAAGTTTTACAGATTTAAAGAGCCTATATACCTTTGTATTTTGGTCCCAAAATTTCACTACCAGATGGCAGATATTAAGAATTTTAGGTGCCAATTGATTCCTTGGTGCTAAGGTATTTAAATACTTTAACTGACATTGCCATGGGGTTTACATCTCAAGGTCAGTTTTTAAGAGCAAATGTGATTTCTTTTACTGACTACTGCTTGTCCTACTTATTAGAATATGGTCTCAAGTTTTGGTCACTGAGATATACAATTCATTAATTTGATTCTAGGCTAGCCATGTAAAAGAGGGAGGAAGCGCTGGTCTCATTCCAAGCCAGTTCCTGGAAGAGAAGAGAAAGGCATTTGTTAGAAGAGACTGGGACAATTCAGGTGATGAGTTCGACACAATAAGTAACAAGTAGTCGTTTGTGACCACCTTTCTTTGCCTTTTCCATCTGAATAAGAAATGAGTTTATTTAAAATATATCTAGAATTAATCTCCCCCTCCTGCTTTATTCTTGTCTCTCAGAAGTAAACTTTTTGATCCCTTTCTGCCACCTGCTGGTATAGTGTCAAAATTAAGGGGCTCAACTCACCCCTGCCCCCTTCTGCTTCATAGGATGCAACATTGGGAAGATAACTTTCTCACCCCTGTATAATACCATATGGTAATTCTAGCATATTCTGCCATATTGCTTAAGTTATATTTATCTTGTTATCCTCAGGACCTTTTTGTGGAACCATAAGTAGCAAAAAAAAGAAAAAGATGATGTATCTCACAACTAGAAATGCAGGTAGGTTTTAAATAGTTTCTAAGAAGTTCAAGTAAAATAGCTTTATATTGTTAGTGTGGCATAAACTCTAAATGTCTAATTGATAATGAATGTAATTCAGATTAGTACCCAATTGCAAGGAGCTGGGATGTGAACACATAGTACAATATAATATAAAGAAATTATTAAATCCTGGTATTATATATACACTTGTAATACTGCCAGTGTGCTTTATTTTATGAGTATAGTTTACAAAGAAATAAATAGATTTATGCTTGTATTAATGAAGGAGAGATGTCATAGTTGAAACGATTCATTCAGAAACTTTGAAATAGTAATTTATGTGTAGTTTATAATGGGCAGAATGCCTTTATAAAGATACTGAAAGAGTTATCATTAAGGACAATTATATTCTGCCATACAGTGTCCATGATGCTTTTGGAAAAATAGTACTGGACCAAATGAATCTTAGTCTGATCTAGTGGAATTCTTTCTTAAATCCTTTGGTCTTAAGAAATATAAATATGGAAACTGCCATATTTATTCTTCTCAAGTTGTAGAGGCCAATAGGAATGAAATGCAGCTCTTGTAAATCAAGAAGGCTCTGATTCAGAAGCCTCTGGAAGCTTAATCAAAGGAATTGACATTATTTAAAGTACTTTCTTGACTTCAGAGCTACTTCTATACTGATGATAAGCTAAATTGTACACTATAAAGGAAATAATGCAGAAGGGGAAATAGACTTTTTCTTTTAATATTCGTTTAATCTATGATGGAGAAATTGTGTAAAGAAATAGTTGCTATTAAGATAATCTAAGGAAAAAGCGTTATTACTACAGATTGAGAGTTATAGCAATAATAAAAACCAAAACCCACGGCTGTTGAGTTGCTTCTGACTCATAACGACCCTATAGGACAGAGTGGAACTGCCCCATAGGGTTTCCAAGGCTGTAAGTCTTTACAGAAGCAGACTGCCACATCTTTCTTCCGCGGAGCGGCAGGTGGGTTTGAACCAGCGACCTTTTGGTTAGCAGCTGAGCACTTTAACCACTGTGCAACCAGGGCTGTATAGCAGTAGTATGTAATGTAATATTCCAAATCTACTTTGGCCTTATTATAAACTTTCTTCCAAAATAGAAAATTTGTCATTTTTCCACTGCATTTTATTAATCAAACTGATACATATAAAGTCATCACACATTATTTATTCATGTATATCATTGGAAAGGTGTACTCATTCCATGGAACTTATTTAAACAGCCACACTACATGTACTGTTGTCATCCATATTTGATATATACTTGTTAGTTGAAGAAACCCTAAAATTTGTAATTTGCTTATTTATATTAAAGAAATTATTTCTACTGAAAAATTGATAATAAAGAGGTTTCAGTGGTTAAGTATCTGATAAGGGTAAAGCACAGGGATTTTTCTAGCTTGGTTAGACAGATTTTTAAGGGAAAATGAATGGAAGCAGGTGTTTAAGTGAAGATGTAAAATAATTTATTATACTTCACCAAATTTGTAAAAGCATATCTGTACCAAGTGTAACAATTCAGGTGATATTTAACTATCAAGACAACTGGGCCATTACTGTACAGAATAGCAGAGGGTTTCATGTATGTAAAGGATAACTGTTTTCCAATTTTCTTTTATATTTAGAATTTGATCGTCATGAAATCCAGATATATGAGGAGGTAGCTAAAATGCCCCCCTTCCAGAGAAAGACATTAGTATTGATAGGAGCCCAAGGTGTGGGCCGAAGAAGCTTGAAAAACAGGTTCATAGTGTTGAATCCCACTAGATTTGGAACTACAGTACCATGTAAGTTTTCTGTGCTTTCTTTGCTATTTAATTGTCAAGAAAGAGTATGGGTACATGGGGGAAGGGAGGATTTATTATTAATACTATTATTAATACCATTAATAATAATAGTAACAATTTTTTATTATGCCAGTGAAAATGAACAAAGAGAGATATTTAAAAACTCAGTGATTCTGTAGCTGTCTTGATATAGCACTGTAGCCCCTGCTGGCTTGCTACCTGATTTGCTTCTCCAAACTATTCAGTTCAGAAATTTTAGGGTTAAGTGCTTGTGTTTAAGAGTTGTGGCAAAATCAGCATCAATTTAGTATTTTCTTGTGTAACTGACATCTTTCTGAAAAGTTCTGCTTTACCCTTTGTACCACCCACGGATTCTGTTCACCTGTTTTAACATAAACAGAAGAGGAAAGATGGCTGGCTCCTCGGGTAGTCTCTGTGTGGCAGTCTTTGTGAATGTATGTGTTCGGCATGTAGCTTTAAGTCCTGTAAGGCCATAAACCTGCTTTTTGATAGCACATCAAGAGTGATTCATCTTCCAGAGCAGGCAGCGTTAAGTAAGGTCACAAAGATTGATGTATAAAATAAAACAGAATACTGATGGAGAAGTATAACCACTTAGTGAACCAGACAGTCATTTTGTGATCTTTGCACTCTTTTGCTATTTGCATATTTACATGGAAAGTCAAATAATGATGCTAGGAGTTTGCTTTCTGAGAATGGAATTATAAGAAGGAATTAGATTATATCACTGATTCTTATAAGGACTGAGACACATTTGTTTTTATTTTTGAGATATATGGTGGCGCAGTGGTTAAGGGCTCGGCTGCTAGCCAAAAGGTCAGCAGTTCAAATCCACCAGCCACTCCTTGGAAACCCTATGGAGCAGTTCTACTCTGTCCTATAGGGTCACTATGAGTCAGAATCGACTGGACGGCAATGGGTTTTACAAGCACCTCTGCTTGTGGGAACTTACTTGCCCTGAACAGTGCAGGCAATGAGCTAATGGTGCCTCTATAACTCTCCCTTTTCTGTACTTCTATTGCAGACCAAGCTCCCTTTTAATTAACATGATATTTCTTTAGCTATATTATGCCTTAAAGCTGTTTTGAGGCGAATCTTAGCCTGGGCCATTCCATTTCTTATAGACAAATTTTAGACTTTCTCTGCTTTAGTCCACTGTGTTTTAAGGTTTAATTCTCAGTAATTTTATTGCTAAAATTCTTAGGGATTAGAGGAGTTACCTTTCTATTGCCACATGTACTACTACTAATCTCTCAGGGTAAGGCTTTGGATTCCATTATACCCGTTGCTGTCAAATCAATTCCGACTCATAGCGGCTGGTGGATTTGAACTGCCAGCCTTTTGGTTAGCAGCCATAGCTCTTAACCACTGTGCCACCAGTGACCTGGATTCCATTACAGGCACCGTAAATCAACTAAATTTAGATAAATCCTAGTTAAGTAGTTAATAAAATAAAACCTCACTGTGATAAAGTATTGTAAAGCTGCAGTTACAAAATAAGGAAAAAGTCTTTCATTTTTATCAAATTAACATATGCACAGTTTGTTAATCAAGTCTTTCTTAAAGATATATAATGAAAAATAATTCTTTGTCTTCCCCTACCCTACCTCCAGCCCAATTACCACAAACAGCCGATTTTCATTTTTTTAGCTGTTTCTTTGGTAGTCTCCTGTATTTCTCAATAATGTCTTTGTTCTACCATTTTTTTCTTTATCCACTTAATGCCTTATCTATTGGCTTCCTGACCATCCTCCCAACATAATAGCTCTATTTTCAGTTAATTCAATTTTATTTTCTTAAACAGCCTCCCCCCTCCGCCGCCGCCACCTAGCAGTCAATGAGTTCTTTTTTTCTTCCTCTTTTTACCTTGGTTTTATATGTATGTTTATGTAGGGTTTTGTGTGTGTCTGTGTGTGTTAAACCAAAGACTTCATTGTATCACTTATTCAGTAAGTCATGATTTTTTTCTTGGAGACATGTGTCTTCCACAGGCACTGCATGCTGTCTATGAAGCTGCCCAACTGTTAACACTGGAGTATTTCCCTTGTTGCTCTCCTGCATTGAAGCTGTTGTTCCTGGCTCCTGTGTCTCTTTCTTGGTTTATTTTGCTAGGGCACATCCTCTTGTAACTTTGTAAGAAAGGATATATGGGATATAATTTCTGCATGTTTATTTGAAGATGTCTTTTTTCCTGCCTTGTACTTGGTTGTTTAGCCGATAATAGAAATTCTAGATTGTAAAACTCAGAAGATATTATTCTCGAATTCACTTTTGTTGAAAAGTCCAATGCAATTCTAATTCTTATTCTTTTATACATAACCTGATTTTTCTTTCAGAAACATTCAGGCTCTTTTATTTGATTTTTAAAATATTCTGAAATGTAATAACGATGTGCCTTGGTGTGCATCTTGTTTTATTTATTGTGCTGAAGATTGGTGGCTCTTCAATCTAGAGATTTGTGTCCTTCAGTTCTGGGGAATTTCTTATTCTTGAATGATTTCCTCTATTTTCTGTGTTTATTTTTTCTGCAATTTATATTAGCTGGGTGGTGAACATCCTTGATTCATCATCTCAGTCTCTTAATTTTTTATCTTATTGTCAGTCCCTTTATCTTTTTATTCTGCTCTTTAAAAGATTACCTTGACTTCTTTATCTTCTATCTCATCAATGTTTTAATCACAGTAATCATACTTTTTCATTTTAGGATTATTTTCTGTTTTTTTCCGCAAAGCATCTCCCCGCTCCCCACCCCCGCCCAGCCCCTTCTTTCATTCCTTCCTTGGTAGGAACAATCTTTTCTGTATCTCTAAGAATACTAAGTGGAGCCCTGGTGGTGCAGTGTTAAGAGCTTGGTTGCTAACCAAAAGGTTGGCAGTTTGAATCTACCAGCCACTCCTTGGAAACCCTATGGGGCAGTTCTGCTCTGTCCTATAGGGTCTCTATGAGTCAGAATCAACTTGAGAGCAATGGGTTTAGTTTTGGTTTGGTTTAAGAATACTTAAGTAGTGTAATTCTTTTTGATATTTTCTTCTACAGGCTAAATTATCTCTGCTTCCTTTTTCTGTTTGTGTATGGTGTATCTGTGTGTGATGATTTCCCTTTTATGCAGGGGACTTTTTTCTTATATGTACTAATCCTTGGTTATATATTCATACTTAAAAGTAAAGTGCTAAATCTGTCTGGAAGCTCTGGGCAGGACTTGGCAGCTGGCTAAACTTTATTCTAGGGAATGGTTGAGGAGCTGACTGTTGTGTTGGGAGAACCCAAAATCTTTGTATATGAGGTGCTTTTCCTAGGAGCTGTTGAATTTATTCAGAGAAGAATAATCAGATATTCTCTTACTGAGATTATCCTCTAATCAAGATGAAGGAGGGGTTTTATTTTATCATGTGCTGTATATGTAATTAAGCCTCCCAAGTTTTAGTTTCTTGCCTCTGACTCCCATTGAACTGTTTTGGTACCCTTGTCAAAAATCAATTGACTGTAAATGTGAAGATTTATTTATGGACTCTCAATTCTGTTCCATTCATCTACATGTCTGTCCTTATGCCAGCATCACACTGCTTTGATTACTGTAGTTTTGTAGTAAGCATTGAAATCAGGAACTGTGAGTCCTCCAAGTTTGTTCTTTTTCAAGATTGTTTTGACTTTTCTGGGTCCTTTGTATTTCTGTATAAATTTTAGGATCAGCTTTCAGTTTCTGCAGAAAAGCATCTAGGATTTTGAGAAGGATTACATTGAATCTGTGGATCTATTTGAGAAGTATTACCATCTTAACAATATTAAGTCTTCCAATATATGAATGTACATGGATCTTTCCACTTATTTAGGCCTTCTTTAATTTCTTTCACCAGTGTTTCGGTGTACAAGTCTTGTGCATCTTTAGCTAAATTTATTCCTAAAGTATCGTATTCTTTTTGATGCTATTTTGAAAGGAATTGTTTTTTCTTTCTTTTTTGTATTGTTCATTGCTAGTGTATAGCAATACAAATGATTTTTTGATGTTAATCTTGTATCTTTTAACTTTGCTGACATCATTTATTACTTATAATAATTTTTTTATGAATTCCTGACAAATCAAACTGATACATATAAAGTCATCACACATTATTTATTCATGTATATCATTGGAAAGGTGTACTCATTCCATGGAACTTATTTAAACAGCCACACTACATGTACTGTTGTCATCCATATTTGATATATACTTGTTAGTTGAAGAAACCCTAAAATTTGTAATTTGCTTATTTATATTAAAGAAATTATTTCTACTGAAAAATTGATAATTGATAATTGATAACTCTACTTCATCTGGAAGTAGAGTTTTACTTCTTCCTTTACAATCTGGATACCTTTTATTTCTTTTTCTTGCCTAACTGCCCCATCTAGAATCTCCAGTACAGTATGGAATATAATTGGCAAATGCAATATTGTTGTCTTTTTCCTGATCTTAGGAGGAAGGCTTTTAGTCTTCACTATTAAATATGTTAACCATAGGTTTTTCATAGATGCCCTTCATGAAATTGAAGGAATTCCTTCCTATTCCTAGTTTGTTGAGTGTTTTTATCATGAAAGGATGTTGGATTTTGTCAGATGCTTTTTCTGTGCCCATTCAAATGTCATGTGTTTTTTTGTTCTTTGTTTTGTTAATACTGTTGAATTGCATTGATTTTTGTATATTGAACCAACTTTGCAGTGCTGACATAAATCCCATTTGGTCGTGGTGTGTAATCCTCTTGACATGTTTCTGAATTCAGTTTGCTAGTATAGAGGATTTTTTGTGTCTATATTCATAAGGGATATTGGTCTGTAGTTTATTTTTCTTGTGATGCCTTTGGCTGGTTTTGATATCAGAGTAATACTGAACTAATAGAATGAGTTTGGAAGTGTTTCTTTCTCTTCTAATTTTTGGAAAAGTGTGTGAAGGATTAGTATTAAATCTGCTTTAAATATTTGGTAGAATTTACCCACGAAGCCAT